AGTTAGTTAGTTAGTTAGTTAGTTAGTTAGTTAGTTAGTTAGTTAGTTAGTTAGTTAGTTAGTTAGTTAGCGTTACCTACAGCCGTGAACTCCTCAAAGTCGATGCGGCTGTCTTTGTCTCGGTCCAGTTTGTGGAGGAGCTCTCGGACCTGGTACCCAGGTAAGGGACAGCCCACCTCCCGGAACAGGTCTCCCAGTTCAGAGGCAGAGATGAAGCCATTACCATCCACGTCTGGACAGAGGGGCAGGCAAGTGCAGAGAGGAGAGCAAGGTTTAACACTTTAATGTTCTTCATTTTCTGCTTCACATGACCTGACAAGATTCTAGTTTCTGATCCACACATTAAAGCTGCACAGACTCATGACAGTCTTCCTCCACTATGTTTTATTTTTATCCATTAATGACCGTTTTCATCTCTTCATAATTTACAGTAAAACATTCTGTTGAATCAATGGACTATCAGTACTATCCCACATTCTGCTCGGCCGTCAGAGGAGCAGGAAGTGCTTTCGCTCTCTCTACACGTCCCCCCACCCCACTTCGCTGCTTATGCTTTTTCGAGCTCTTTTTTCACCTTCCATCCAAAACTGAAGGAATTATGAATTTGTTCAACTGGACTCTGAATGAAATTGACACTATTTTTTCTACACTTGGAATGAGGAGAACATGGCAGTCTGGGTGGAATGGTTGCTGCTGGATTTGTCTGATTCCTGGGGCTGGAATCTGATATGCCTCCACCACTTTCTATCGAAGACATGGAAGATCTTTATTTATTTGGATTATGATAACTGGATTCCTGCTGATCGGCAGAGGAGGGTTCCAGATTTATCGAAAAGTGAAAGCGACCCTGACAGTGGATCAGGCCTTTGAAGAGCTGTCGGGCGCACTTGAAGGATTAGCACACAGACTCTCAGCTGGGGGAAAATTTGCAAACTGGATGTGACTGATGAGCACAACTCAGGAGCAACCCTTCGGCTTGTATGGACTACATCTGGGTGACCTTCAATCAGTGAGAGGCAAGGAATGACCCCAAATTCAGCTGATTGGCTTTTTTCACCACCTCAGAGATTGCAGTAAAAACCCTTCAAAAGCAGCAGGAAATTCAAGGTTGCTTTGTTCCAAAACAATTGGATTATTTATCTGGCTCCCAGCGGTGCGGCCTTGAGGGCAGTGCTTATCTTAAACTCCCCAGGATAAAATGTCAACTAAGAGCTGGATTCACTCCCACCCCACCACCTGTGTTGGACCTGGCCTTGGAACTCAGTTGGCTGAGGAGGAGGAAAATCTCTGAACTCTAGCGAACTGAGTAGAGACAATAACATCATATGACTCTGGACTCTGGATGGGCACAGGGTTGGGGCCTAGCACGGACCCCCCCCTGAACCCGCCCCATTTTACCTGCCCTTTATGTGTTATCTGTTATGTGTTATCTGTTATGTGTTATCTGACCTAAAACTGACCTTAGGAAATACTGTACTAGATGAGAAATAAAAAACTTGATTTACACTCACTGGCAAAAATATGTCAATCACCAAGATAGTGTTAAAGTGACGATGATTTCAGTTCAAATATATAACTGAAGTAGTCAGTGTGCTGTGCCCCCCACCACTCATCAGGGCCCTCATGTATAAACGGAGCGCACGCATAAAAAAGTTGCGTGCTCCAGGTTCTACGCCCACGTTGTGATGTATCAAAACCAACGTTGGGTGAAAGTGTGCGTAAATATATGCACACTTTCCACCTGCTGTGAGAATGTGCAGCAGCCACACAAAGTTTTTCAGTCGACAGTTTTAATTATTATTGTATCTATTTTACAGATTTAAATGGAGGCGTGTCAGGGGAGGAGTCTCAGGTCCACCTTCATTAGGATGAATAAAGGAAAGTTGAGCAGGAACCTGCGTGCACACAGTTTTATACATCTGAATATTTTGGTGCAGAGCACATTTTTTAATTTGTCCGTACGTCAACTTTTAGTGTGAAAGCTGCGTACTCCTTTATGCCTGAGGCCCCAGGACTGGATACAGGTGGTGATGCTGCAGAACCAATCATTGCATCCTTTCYTGCAGCAGGTCCACCCACAGGTGTTACATCTGGACCTCCAAACCTGACAGATCAACACCTGGTCCAGACTGAAGCCACATGTTTGACYGTCAGACACTCAGGACACTGCCTCATACACACCAGCTGCTGCACCCGTCCTCACTTACACAACGCACACAGGTAAAGGCTCAGTTACTGTTAGAAAACAACAGTGTGTACTGTCCAAACAGGTCTCTGCTGTACAAACTGATGAGTCCACTGCTGACGTCATGAACAGCTCCAACATTTGTTTTACGATTCATGTTTGTTCTGCTATCCTCATGAGGACTTTGCATTAACTTCATTCATTTACTGGTCCTTTCTATAGCCTAACAACACACACACACACACACACACACACACACACACACACACACACACACACACACA